GCAAGCACAAGGGCCTGAGTTCAAGACCCCGGTTCCACCAAAAATAAATAAATAAATAAGATGAAAAATAAAAAGGGAATGGGGTGAGGGGTGTAGCTCAGTTTGTGGCGCTATGTTCAAAGCTCAGTACTGGCGGCTATCACCCGAATCTGGGTCCATCATTTTAAAAAGCAAGTACCAAAGAACCAGTGCATGGCCTCAGGAAGCTGGGGCCTCACCCAACCCCCTTACACGCACAATGCAGCACTAAGAGCAACTACTCACTACACCCTCCTCCAGGCTGCACAGGTGCTTTCTGAGGTGAGCTTAGGTAAATCAACACAGCAGGGTGGCTGGTGCCACAACTGGCCCAGAACTGCCTAGAGTGAGGTCGGAGAGAAGAAGGGCAAGCTGGCTGGCTGCTGCAGCTAAGGCAGTTAGTTACACAGGACCTCAGGGCCCCACGAATGCCATCTGGGATACAGGAGATATCCACCAAACCCACTCCCATCCACACAGGTCAGGCCACCCTAGAAAGCACCCCACCTCTGTGACCCCAATCTGGGCAATGTGTGGCTCCTGGCCCCACGTTCTGCTTCCCAGGTGGGGACAGGCAGCCAGAAGTAGAACGTTTTTCTGCAGCTCTCCAGCCTCTGTATTTTGACACAAAACAAAGACACTCCTAAAAAACATTTCAGTTGAAACTTGCATAACTTCCAGTGGAGAAATCCTCCCTTAGCTTTCGCAATCCTTAGAAAGAGATGCATTATTGCCACAGAGTCCGGCCGCCAGCCGCGGACACCTCCTGCCAGACAGTCAGGGAGCGGGCCGGAACCGCCGCCTCCTCCCTGGCCCTGCGGCGACGGCGCAACTCAGACCTGGGCTGGGGCACCCCCCACGCCTGACGCGGGGCGGGGCTCGGTTCACACTTAACCCAGACTTCCTCACGATCAACATCCTGTCTGCCCTTACGCGACATCTCAGACAGACATTACACAGACCGGCTGCAGGGAAGGTTGAGAAACAAGAGGCCGCCGCAGTCAATGACCTTATTCTCAAAAGAGCCACACTGCCTGACAGATGCCAGGGAGGCAACAGGGGACAGAGGTGAGGGCCTTCAACAACCCTGCTGCCCCCAGCCCCACTGCCAGAGGTTGCAGAGAGTGGCAGAACAGACAGACAGAAGGCCTCACGGACAGTGCCTGGAGGACAACCTACTTGGGCGCTGGTCCCTGCAGAGGTGGACCAAGGTCACCCAAAGAAGTGAGCAGGGCTGGGGTGCACACCACACCCCGCACACCTTCGTCTGCTGGGGCACATATAGGCCAGGGCATGGGCAGAACCCCAAGCGCATGCTCAGCCACAGTTTCCCCTTTGAGAAGACCCCACTGGTCTTTGTTCTGGAGTCCCTGACCTGCTGACCGGGCCCATAGCCTCTCATTCTCCAGGGACTCCCTGTGGGGCCTGATAAGTCACCACAGAACCCCAAGAAATCCCAGTAGGAAACACTTCAGTCAAGATTCTTGGAAAGCAAGCCAGGAGATACAGCCCAACAGCACATCCCCTGCCTGACAAGGCAGGCTCCTGAGTTCAATTCCCAGCACCACCGATTTAAAAAAATAAACAAATAAATAAATAAAACCGAAAGAAAAAGAAAGCCAAGAGACCAGGGACAGCTGAACCCCACCTTAAAACAGCACTCAGATCCAGAGCGGCCAGGTGAGTACAGCCCCAAGGTGGCACACACAGCAGCAGGAGGCAGGAGAGTCCACGCTCACCATGCCATGCATGCCATCCCTCCCACCTCGGCTTCAGAGCAAGGCACAACCCACTTTGAGAAGGCACCCAAACCCAGCTGCTGCAGGCAAGAGCAGCAGCCGTCCCTAAGTCCACCTTAGGACTCTCGCTTGCCGAGGCTGACCACATGGCCAGGTAGCTGCCTACACTGGGTCAGTGAAGCCTTCAAGGGCAGAGCTAAAGCATTCCAACACAGGGCACCCAGGAAATTCATGTCAAGTCCCCACAGAAACAGAAGCAACCCCAAAGGGGCGCACCTGAGGACTGGACCCCGGGCAAGACAGGTGTGGTCAGCCAGGACGATAGCCTCTCGGTCGGAAGGGCACTGACACCACAGGCAGCCAACCCTGCTGTGGCCCGAAGGAAGCACTGCGGCCCTGGCTGCCCACAGGACCTCCTGTGGGACAGAGCTGCATCCCCAGGGGCAGGCCACCCCGCAGCTCACAGCAGCACCATCTATGTAACCTCTCAGATGGACAGCAATCCATACTGACAGAACAGCGAATGAAGCCCAACATGTCTGAGACAGCCTGAGAAAAGCAGTGGGACGCAACTAGGAGGAAGGCCACGTGTGGGGAAGGCTCAAGAGCTTCCCTCTGACCCCTCCAGGACATATCAGTCAGAGTCCCCGGAGCAGAGTGACAGCGTGACCCCCAAGCCCATCAAGTTCCAACCACAAGGGCTCACTGAGCCACAGAGAGCAGCCATGGGGGTTCAACCAAGCGACTACCCAGCCCTGGACAGCACGCATCCTTCCAAGCCTCACCTGCAAGAAGCTGGGCCTGTGGCCCCCAGACAACAAACACTTGCTCTATTCTCGCGACACCCCCAAAGAAAGGCCAGCAGCTCTCACAGTCACGGCACCGCCAACAGGCCGCAGCCTATGGGGCAGCCACCTGCAGCGTTGTCAGGCTCAAGGCTGGAACCCAGAAGTGCAGCCCAACCCCAGACAGGCTGCTGTAAAGCAGAGCCAAGGTAGCCCGGGTAGCGGAGACCCAGGAAAAGCACCCGCCTCCCTGTCTCACCACCGCCCGCCCGCCCACCTGCCTGCCTGCCCGGGCAGGAGACCAGCTGACAACACCCAACCCTGAAGGGGGCCAGCGCAGGCCCTGTAGCCAAAACCTCACCCCTGCAGAGCTGCAGCACACTCCTGGTTCCTCCTGCTCTCCTTCTCAGGTCCCAAATGTTAAAGTAAGCTACGAAGGAAATGAAGAAATCCCAACACTGACTCTGTGGCAAGAGAGTGGGAGGAGCCGAGGGCAGCGGCGGTGGCACCTCCGGGCCCACGCCACCTGGACTGGCAGCACTCCATGTGGCACCCGTGAGCATGCACAGGTGAGCACAGCCATCACCCCCAAGTACAGTGGCCCTGGGTGAGGCAAACCCATGCCTCACAGGCTGGGGCACCCCATGTGGGGAGACGACTTTCTAACCCCTGATCAGGAAAGCACACAGAAGGCGTCAAAAGCACAGGCCCCAGGCTGAGATTAGGACCGCCCCTGCCACTGCGGGGGCGGGGCTACTGCTCAGGTTGAGACGCTTCCACATCCGCATCATTCAGAAACTTCTATATCCTGAAAGAGGCCTCAAACCTCTGCAGAGCACAGTACCAGAATGCTGGCCAACAGGACCAGAGCAACGGAACCTGTCTGACCTCACCCTGTGACTGGGCTCAGGGCACCATCCAGCCCCCTTAAATCCCAGGATGCTTGCACCCAGAACCAGAGAGCCTACTACAAAGATGGGCAAAAACTGGCCATCCTGCTCAGAAGCATCTGGGACAAAGGGGCCCTAGAAAGGTCCGACAGAAAGCTCACAACACACACGACCCAGAGTCAACAAAAACAGACACGCCCTGCTCAGGCAAGAGCCTCACGCTGGCTCTGGAGATGAGCAACTAGGCCACAGCCACCAGCTCCAGGAGCTGCTGGAGCCCAGCCTCATCCCTGCACACGTGGCAAGGGCATGGGTATGCCTGCCCAAAGGACCCACGGGCACAGCGAGTGCCACCAGCCTCCCCATAGGCAGCTCCCTTCTGACACGAAGGGCCACCAGCTTGCAGGATGCCTCTACAATCTCCCCACCTCACCGGGCTGAGGGCAGCTGCACATGGCCGCTGGCCTGGCCGGCACAGACACACAGAACACACAGGCGCGCGCACAAGCACTCGCAGCCCTCTCTTCAGCCCCCCCCCCAGCCGAGCCGACAGTCCTTCTCCAAGGCCCCTCCCCCACAACTCTGACACTCCGCTGGAGGGGCGCCCAGAGAAAACCGGGCTGCAGCATCTATTCACAGATTTAGAAAAAAAGTTTGATGCAATAGCTGAATTAATTAGGCCTCCCAAGAATAGCTCAGCCAATGCAGCATTCTGTGTGTGCAATTTAATAAGCCTGAATATTTGAAAAAAAAGTTATAAACATTTGGGACGTACACAACAAAGTTCTTGAGGACCTCAGGGAGCCATTTAGGGACCTGGTGACCCCAAAGATGCCCAGGTAAGATCCCACAGTCTCAAGGCAAACAACAATGGCTGGGCAACAACCCTCCACACCCAGCCCTTCTGTGTGGAGAAGAGGAAATGGGCGAGCCCAAAACAAATCACAGCTCATCAGCAACTCTTCAAGGCCTAGGGCCCCTGACCAAGCCCAAGGGCCCTCACCCCACAAGGGAGACGCTGGGAATAGCTCCCCACAGGCCTTCAGAGTCTCCTTAAGTCCCAACCTCTGCTACCACAGCTCAAATACTTTTGTGTCTGCGTTCCAAAACTCCAAGGCACAAAACTGGGCAGCTGGCAAACCAAAGCAGGCTATCGCTGGGGATCACGCCAGGCTCGACAAGGGCTTGGAGACCTGGACCTGAGGCTCAAAGCCTGGGTCCAGCCGACCTAACTTTCTGGAGCTTAGGGGCTGGCCTCTTCCTGATGTGCCAAGGCCCGGCAGGCCCAGCATTCGAGGCAATAGGCACAAGAGGGCCTGTCCACTCATAGGCCTGGCCCCCCGACTCTCTAGTCAGGCTCAGTCTGGGGTTGAGCCCATGAGGCAGGACACTGCAGCCTCCCAGGGGTCAGGGCCTACCAATAAGGACCTCCATGCAGTCGTCAGCAAAGCAAAACGAAACAAACCCCTAAAACACAGGGTCAGGCAGAAACACTGGTCCCACCGTGGGTAACCAGAGCCCAGGCATCCCCGCGCAGCTGCTAGGCCCAGAGGCCCGTGGACACTCACCCGGGGCACCCGCCGCTTGTACTTGTTGCCATAGTCAAACTTCTCTTTCACGTCGTCCAGGCATCGGCCGAGACGGGCTTGCTCCTCCTTGCCCGTGTAGTCCTGGCTCAGCAGGATGTAGGCCCGCCAGTTGGCTGAGTCGAAGCCCCAGTGGCAGGTCCGGTTCTCCAAGGCCTTGTGCGAGTGCACCACGAATTTGTGCGGCGGGTACATGAGGCGGCAATCGAGGCACTGGATACAGGCTGCGCTAGGGCTGCTGTACAGCTCGGGCACCAGCAGCCCCTTGCACTTGCCGAAGCACTCGTGGTACACGCGGACGCTGCGCTCGCTGAGCTCCAGGCCCAGAGCCAGGCTGGCGGCCAGCTCCTTCTTGCAGGGCGGCGGGTAGGCGCCACCGTAAAGCAGCGCGTTGCACAGGCGTTCCGCGTCTGTCTTGGTGATGAGCCCGCACGAGGGCGCGGAGAAGGGCAGGATGCCCATGACTTTGAGGATCTCCAGCTGGTCGGCCGTGCAGCGCGAGCAGTAAATGTGCAGCTCGTCGCACACCGAGTTGATCTGCTGCAGTGAGAAGTCGCGCAGCACTGAGTTGAGGATCTGTGGCAAGCATAGGCGCTTCTCACCGCCCACCACGAAGCACGAGATGGTCTCGCCTTCCAGCACGGTCTCGCAGCGTTCGGTGGAGCGGTCGGACGGCATAAAGAAGGGCCCGGGCAGCACAGGCGGCGGCGGCTGCATGGCGGGCAGGTGCAGCACGGGCGGCGGCTCGGTGGCCGCAGGCACCGGCGCGGGCACCGAGGCCGCGCCCGCATCCTTGGAGCTCTCCTTCTTGTAGGCCTCCTGCGCCCAGCGCGCTGAGAAGGCGGCCGGGCCGCCCAGGGAGCTCATGGAGCTCAGGTGGAACTGCTCCAGCGTCTTCTGCAGCCCGGGATGAGGCTGAAAGCCGCCGCGGCCGCCCGCCGCCGCCTCCATGGCGCGATCGGGCTCTCCGGGCCGCTCCCGCTCCCGTGCGCCCGGGCCCCCGCGGCCTC